GCACCACATTGTTGTAAACAATCCACTTCTCATCAGCAGTTACCAGTCGCTTCAAAAAAGGATCTTTTTCCTCACGTTTAATGAGCATGTTGCAGATGTTTAGACGCACTGTCAAATGAACTTCTTTGAGTTCATGCAGAACCCAAATATCGAGCTTGCTTATGTATCCCAGCTTCTTCAGGTGGTCATGAATGCTTGAATGAGGGATGTTCAATGTTTTTGCAATCTCTCATGTCGTGTAACGTGAGTTTGACTTGATCAATGCCTTTATTTTTTGTCATCAACCTCGGTGGGCCTCCCTGACCAAGGAGCGTCATTGAGATCAAAATCACCAGCACGGAATTTTGTGAACCATCATTGGCACTGACGTTCTTGTAGAGCGTTGTCACCGTAAACTTTATGCAGCTTTTCACAAGCTTGATGCGCGTTCTTCCCTTTATGGAAGTAAAACATTAAAATATGGCAAAAATGCACAGTTTGGTCTTCCATCTTCAACTTGTTGTAAAATATCCAAATCTCAACCAAATTGCTCAATTTTTTTAGAATGAAGCTAGAACTGTCAGCTGTCAAATGACATAGCAATAACATAGATGTGAATGACTCTAGTGCTTCCCAAAATGAACTAGTGCCATCTGTCGCAAACATGTGTCATGATTATTCCAACAACCCAATAGAAACTCACTAATGGGTACTTGACACCATATATTCGCTGACTAAAATGGAATGACCTGGTACCTGGGTACCTGGGAACCTGGAACTTGTCTTTTCAAAGCCACCTTTCTCTCCATACCCTCCACCCCTTCCAACTTCTGAACATAACCCCCACCTTGGTCTTTCCCAAAATATTAAGGAAGCTTGTTTAGGAAGGTAATACTCAATTTCTGTTTTCTGCAGTAAAATAAGACACCTTTGGAACCACTTTTAAGATCCCTTTTTAATTATCCTTCCGGAACCTCTTAGTAAGTTGTTGCTGTTGGGGGTTACAGTAATAATTTGTTTTTCCATTTAATTTTTTCTGATAAGCTTCAAGTACTACCTTACTACTTGCTTCTTAAACTGAAGTATGCACAACCCCAATTCTGTGCAGAGAGGATGCCACACAGCAGAATATGTGGTACAACTTTCTGGAGCATTAATTTTACTATAAGATTTGGAAGAACCAAAGTTATGTAAGTTACAAGGTAAGTATTAAAAATTTAAGACTAAGCTGAAAGTCCCCTGCCAATTGTCAGTAACCTGTGCCTGAAATGTCAGGCTGTCTCCAAGGAAACTAAGGAAAACCTAGTTTCCATTATTTTCAATGGAAAAAATTATAAGGAATATCAAGTCAATTGAAAAACTCTACCAATTTTCTAAATCACAACACGGCACCTAGACATAAGTTACAAATATCATGTTTGGATGTAAAATGCTTAAAACATTGCTTCTTGGTCACAAAGTATTATAGCAGTGGCCTCTCTGAAAGCAGCCACATCAGATATGTTCACCTCCTTTGTTGGTACTCCAAAGCTTTGCAAAGTGACAGTGTGATTCTGATGATCTACCAATTGTATTTGGAAGCAAGATGAAGCTTATCTAGCAAGCCACTAAACAGATTTGAAGACTCAATATAAATTATATATATATATAAACATCAACTGAAAAATGTGTTGAATGATAAATACCTACTATGCAGTTTGGGTTTTCAAAACACAGAGGTGTGTTTTCCAGGGAAACATTTGAGGATTTGTTCTGTGGGATGGGCCTGTATTATGAAACAGAAGACAAACATCCATTTATTTTACATACTAAAGCTGTAGCTTCAAGTAAATTTGGAGCTGACGAGTCCTTTCAGCCTACCTTCCCAAAGTTCTAAGTCTGTAGTGATCCCTTGCCAATATCATTCATTTCCCCGTCCCTACCTCTGTCATTCCTATCAGCATACAAACATACTCTAATGTGCATTAAACAAAAAGACCTCATTTGAGCCCAAATACCTGTACATTCACCATTCTATATTTCTGTTCTGTTAGAGCTACCTGTCCTCAGTTCTCTCCTGAACCCATTCCATTCTAGCTTTACTCAACACTACCTCACGGAGATGTAGTGTTGGCCAAATTCAAGGTCAAATTTCTGTTCTTACTTCACTCAGTCTTTTAGTTGCATTTGACACAGATGCTACATACACTTGAGCACGTCTTCCTTGTATTAACTCTGTTTTCTTATTTTTTGATGCTCTGGCATCCAGGGCCTTGCTGACTCCCCCTGGAAGGAACTCCCCCTTTCAGGGTTAGCTAATTTCTAGAGAGCAAATGGTGCAGTGAGCATGCCTTTCATTTGCACACTAAGTAATCCAGAGCCCACACCCTGCCACACCTCTTCTGTGGACACTTAGACTCCAGGCTAATATCCCCCTGCCCTAATAGCCCCAGGGCCAGGTGCCAGAGGCCTGGGGACAGCCCCTATACTCCAGAACCCACTGAAATTGTTTAAACTAGCTAATCTTAAACCTGCTTAGTCTGTTCCCCCTGCCTCTCCCTCTTCTTCCCACAGTAAAGGCTCTGGCTGGTGCTTTCCCCTCACTCCCTCTGCCTCCTGACCGACCTAGGTGCTTCCCCAAGTGGCGGCTCTCCATTGCCTGCCATGCCTCCTGTTTCTAAAGAACTGAGAAAAACTTCTTCCTTGATGACAGTCCTTTTACTGTCTGCATGTCTTATGGTACCTGATTAGAACAAATCTCTGAGTACATTTCAAAACATTTCTTCTTGAAACACTTTCCTCTGGATTTCTGAGACCTCCTCCACCTCCTGGATCTCCATCCCACCCCCGCCACCCACGCACACACTTTGCTCTGCTCTTCCTCGTGCCCCTCCACCAGATCGCTAGTGATTCTCAGTCCCTTCTCTTTCCTATCTGACCTTTCAGAATGACCCTGCAGTCTCACAGCTTTCAACACAGCTATCTGCAGAAAACCACGTGGGTTTTCTTCCCTGGGGGGAACACTCAGGAGTCAAGCCTGACTCTTCTCTTCTCACCCCACATGCAATCCCTTGTTGGCTCTGCCTGCAACATGCATCCTGATTGCAGCCTCTTTTCACTCTCTTCATTCCTACAACCAGTTTCAGCCACCTTCCTGTCTTTCTGGTCTACTGCCAGACGCAGCCTCCTGGCCGGCTCCCTGCTTCCTGTCTTGCCCTCCTACGATCTACTCTCCACTCAGCGTCCAGAGTGATCTCTTGAAAATATGAAAAACGTGATGTATGCCACCACCACCCCCCCATTTAAACCTGCTACTGGCTTCTCATTACAGTAGAATAAAAGGTCAGATAACCTGGTCCCTACCCACCTCTGCGGCCTCATCTCCTACCATAGCCTACCCTTGCTTGTTCATCCTATTGTGTCAGCTTTCCTGGTTCCTAGAGCCAAAAGCAACCTTAACTAACAAATATATATTAGATCATAGAATCTAGAACATAGGTCATAGAAAGAAAAGTCTAAGGGAGAATGAAGGGACAGAAAAAAAATGGCTAAAAAAGGAAANTTCCCCAATAAAAATCTTAAAAAAAAAAAAAAAAAGAAACCACCACCTAACGAGAGCATACAGAAGAGCAGGGCGAGAACACTGAGGGATGGGGAGAGTCATGCACGCACTTGATCTCACCATACTTCCGCATCTTGCCACGTTCACAGACACTACATGGTTTTTCTTACCTTTCTTTACAAAGGTGTTGATGAATTCGTGTGTAATTAACTCATGAACAGGTAAATTCTTCACAAAGTAATAGGGTCCAGTTTCCATGACCAGGTTTTTCAGTTCTTTTGACGGTATCCCACATTCAGGAATCAGAAATGAAACCTGTTGGAATGTGTAATATAAACAAGTCTTATTTTTATGTTGGTCAACACCCAGGTTTTTAGGGATGATATAACATCATGAAGGCTGCTAACTATCCCCCCACGAATTTCTACAAAACTCTTATAAATTAACTTACCAATCTCAGGAAAAGACAAACCTGACAATTCAAGGTTTCATTTCTGTATTCAAACGTAGTACAGCAAAGAGAATGAGCAAAAAAATTTAATGGAAACATCTTGCTAATATTTAAGCATTATAAATATGTCCTGTTCCTTTTACTAATTAATTTTTAGGGGAATATAGGTCAATTGAATATCCCTAGATTTGTTTATCCTGGTACCAGGCTTGAATCAAAGGAACTGTCTCTTAGGGCATGAGGAATTTATCCCTTCAGAACCAATTATTAGGAGATTATGTGGAAGCAGAAGTGCTCCTGGATGTTTCTAGGTTATAGACAGAAAAATTCTACAGATCAGATCTGGCGAGGTAAGGCATAACATCCCTGACTACTGTCTGTGAGGTGCTTTCCATCCAAAGCTGAGATGTTAAACCTATCGGGTTTCACACGCTGCCCAAATGCGCCACACATTGAAAATCTCTCTCCCAAAGCTCCAACATACCAGCCTGTTCCTGAAGGACCAGGGTCACCACTTTTGTCTCCGAGAAACGGGCCAGTCCTGCCTGAATGATCAGGCCGATCAATTTAAAGTGCTAAAGGCTTCAACCATTATCATGTTGAGGTTGATTTTTTGGAGGCCTGGCCACTTAAATGTGTTGGTGAAACCGGCCCAGTAGACACTTGACGGGGAATCTGGGTCGTTCTCCCCCACGCCTCAACAGGTCCTACAAACCAATAGTTAACCTCATTGAGATGCCTCGACTTCCACATCTAAGAAAAAGGAACCCCATGAGGATGACATTTTCACAAAGTAGCAACAGCCAATGTTACCATCCTCGTAAATCTCTTATTTTTAAATTGTGCTCGCTAGCAGGGCCACCACAGCTGCCGAATTTCTGCCCAAAGCTGCGGAAATCGTGCACTTTGCCTTGAATACACATAGGGCAGCAGGCAGGCAAACTGGAGCGTTTCTCAGATGTCAAACCAGTGTCCATAAGCAGTTTAGAAAAGCAAGAATCTGGGCCTGGACTCCGCACGATGCTCTGAAAAAATCCGCAGGCACGCGGGTAGGAGAAGGAATTAAGTTGGGGAAGAGGTGAGAGTCTGGCTTCGATGTGGGGCCAAAGCGAGTTGGACGCGGACGCTGCCGGCCGTCGGCCGCTCCTCGCAGCTGTCCCGGGCCTGCCCGCCACGTCCCTCCCCGGGATGCTCTGCAGCTGAGCGGGGGAAGGGACGGGAGTAACCTGCTAGCGGCGCCTTGGACCCGGCCTGGCGCACACCGCGCAGCGCCCCCCAGGGCCGGTACCGCGCCGCTCGCGGCGTATCCTGGGAGTTGTAATCCAGCATATCCACCAGCAGCCAGCTCGGAGCCTTTTACAGACTACAGCTCCCAGCACACCCGGCGAAGGGCCCCGCTCCCCAGCGCCGGGGCGGACCCTCCACGCACAGCAGAGCGCGGATCCTCTCAAGCCTCTCCGGCTCGGGAGCCTGGGGCCGCAGGACTCACCCTGTAATTATGGTAGTGCGTCTCCACAAGACACCGGTGGCGCGACTTGTCGTGGCCGAAGTTGGATTTCTCGCAGACCAGCAAGTGCCGGGGTACCTCTCTTAGCCTGCCCAGGGTGGCCATGTTTGCCCCGAC